GGGTTTTTTTTTTTTTTTTTTTTTATCATTTTTTATGAGAACCCATCTCACAAATAATCTGATTTCGCTACGCCAAAATATGGGTTCGCCCAAAAAATCTGATCTTTTAGTTAAAAAATCATCACAGCCACAAAATAAAGGGAAAATTGCAGCCATTGGTCTCCAACCCAAGTCATTGAGATCTGAGAAGAGTAGTAGCATTAGGCTCCGTTTGTGATTAAAAAGTAAGGAAAAGTTACTGATGTGATGAAAAATATTATTTTATTGAAGAATGTGCGGTTGAAAATGAATTTTGAAAAAATGTATTTTGGAATAATGTGTGTCAAACAAGGGCCAAGTCACTGTTTGGTGGGGATTAAAATCAGATTTTTGTTAAATTTTGATAAAAGTTGATGACATGCGTGGTTGAAAAGTTATGGATCATATAAAATGCGTTGTTAAAGTTAGTTGTTGACTTTAACTTGAATTAAAATTTAGATTTTAATTTGTACCAAATAGGAGATAAGAATTCATGTAACGACCGCACTAACAAGAAAATCTCCACACTTTTATACTAATTATCGAGTTTCAGTACATGATCTAAACAAATAATCTGCCTCTCGACATAATTATCGCTCATAAATCAATGAATTAGTGCACAATTAATCCAACTCGTTAAAGATAAAATGAAAAATAATTCACAATATCAATTGAAGATTCAAAACTTTTTAATTAAAATTATGGTTCAAAAATATGTTATAATCGATCATCCTAACTAAATACTTAATTACACATAATGGGAAAATAATAATATAATAAAGAATCAAAGTACATTGTCGGGTTTTAAAGAAAAAGGGAGAAAAAATGAAGATCTTGCCCTAAGAGTCCGCATTCTTCTTATAAAAACCTTGAAACTCTAATTTTTGGATTGATTTCTTAATTTTTCTCTCCTTTTGGGCTTGAATATATATATATGAAACTTTTCAAGTCTTGACTTGATGATGTGTATAATGAAATCCTATAAATCTCCTTTCATTGTTGGACTAAGATAGATATTTATAAAGAGTAATTCAACATCATACTGTATAAAGAGTAATTCAACATCTTACTGATAAATAACACTATTCATTTATAAAATAAGATTTAGGTAAAATCCTTGCTCAAATTAATTTTCACAAAAAAGTATGAGAATAAAGAAATAAATCCATTTTTCAATTTCTCATGGGACTTTAGTTCTTCATCTTTTAATATTTACAAATAAGCCATCTTCATTCCAAAATCATTAATGATTGACCCGCTTCAAGTTTTGAAAACTTATAATTTATTTTCCAAACTTCAAATGTCGAATCTAGCTCCCGAAACATACAAATTTTTACCAATGCTTTATTAATATTTTCAACTGATTAATTGTAATTCAGTTAATTTTCAATTATTTCGAATCAATTTCAATTAAGTTCCAAATAGTCATTTTCACGCCAGTCGTATCCAAGTTGAATTTTTTCCCCCTATAATTAATATAATTTACACAAATTAAATAGATATTCACTCAATTTACATATAAATAAATAAAAATAGAAGTCCAAATACATGCATAAGATGACCTTATCATAATTCATATTTTTGTGAGCTCAAATTGACAATATAAAGTCACGAGTTGATCTTAAAAAGAATAATAGACATTTTGAGTTGATGAGTAATTGTGATTTATAATTCTTTATAGAGAATAAGACTAATTGTACATCCAAATATATATACTTTGGTTGACATTCCTCGTGTGTAAAAAATCTAATAATTGATTGAAAAATGTGTTTTTAAAATCAATATACGCAAATCTATTAACACACAGGAGTATAAACTAAGGTGTACATATAGCATGACTCTCTTGAAAGAATTATCACCCACTCAGAACATCTTTGAGAATTTTTGTTTTTAAAGAGCATCTTGTACATAATAGAAATCATCTTTAAAATTTGAAGAGTAAAATTTTTGACACGCTCACTTTTTTATTTTACTTTTACGATATTCAAATTCACTCTCCATATTAAGACCTTGGCCCTAGTAAAGTAGAAAAGCCCTTAGAATAATAGGCATCTTATGTGCTTTAATATGACTTTAATTTGTTACATTGATTGAGTATAGTTTATTAATTACATATGCTAATGAAGAGCACGAATCAAATGTCACACCTAAGGTCACATCGACAAGTGGAGCTCACAAGCCACTATTAAAGTTACCTATGAAGAAGAAGAATAATATTTATACATATTAAGTGCGTGTTCGGTAGAGATTAAAATCGGATTAAAATTGAAAAATTAGTCGTTATTGTTGACTTTTATTAGACGAGTGAGACCCAATAACAGCTATATTTTCAATTTTAATTGAATTTTAAGCACAATCGAATACGATATGAAGAAGAAGAATAATATTTATACATATTAAGTGCGTGTTCGGTAGAGATTAAAATCAGATTAAAATTGAAAAATTAGTCGTTATTGTTGACTTTTATTAGACGAGTGAGATCCAATAACAGTTATATTTTCAATTTTAATTGGATTTTAAGCTACCCCAAACACGCCCTAAATTAACAATGACGAGAGAGAGAGAAAAAAAAGAAACGAAAAGAAAAGAAATTCAATTATTTTTTTTTCTCTCTTTCACACCATCATTATGTACGCCATTATATACATCATTATGTACAAATATCATTACTCATTTCAAAGTTGTATACAAATCGAAAATTGATGAAAATATCTAGTTTGAAAAATGTATTTTAATGAAAGTCAAATAAATAAAGGAATATATGAATTCAAGAGTAGCCAAATGTACAAAAGTCCATAGGAAAATGACAGCCCAACTAAAGTAGAATCCAATGGCATTGTTGCTCAATTTTAGGTAATTATTTTGGTTGAGAGAAGTCACTCATTCAAACATAGCTAGTATAATATTTGAGGGACCTCTTATCAATGGAAAAATTTCCATGCGTCTCCTCCATTTTTTAGTTGAACAAAACAACCGCTATAGTTAACATTGATTTTGGTGGAACATAATTTTCTAAAATTCCCATGAAATTTTATTTTCTCAAAAGCGAGTTAAATTTATGTGCATGAAATGTTTCTATCGAGTCACTTCAAGTCATTCATTTTCAACTAATCCTTCATGTGTATTTCAAATTCATCAAATGTCTATTACATGCATAATTTAAGTAAATAGGCGACGATAGTATTTCAAATTCATCAAATGCCTATTACATGCATAATTTACGTAAATAGGCGACGACGGTTTTGGAATTAGAACACTTACACGCTTTGCTACTATATCGAACCATCTCATCCCAATTTAAAAAGGAATAAAACTAATTGTACTGAATTGTCCTTACCGAAAATGTTACACCCTCTTACATGTGCGCGGGGCCCCTCATAAATAAAAAAAACTACAAAAAATGTGGTCCACACACCCTATTGTGAGTGTAGGTAAAATATTAGGTAAAAAATTTTTTGTACATGTAGCATTGCCCTCAAAAAAGGAGATGAGCTTATTTATTTAAATTTTTCGAACAATTACACAATAGTTCGTCTCGACATGATTACACACTTCAACAAGCAGAAGAAATTAATAATTTAAACAAATTGGTCAAGGTACTCATCCACAGTGGTGTATTTAACATCTGGATAAAGCTCTGAAGCTTCAACTCCAAAAGATGGTTCAATTTTAATATTAGTCAGATCACCCTTCACAAATGCTGAGTGGTTGATTGCCATTACAATATTGATGGGAAAAGGAGATTCTGCAATAATTGTAAATGGTTCAAGAATAAGTATTTTCTTTATAGAACATTTTCAAAAGGGATTTAAATATTTTGCACAAAATTAATAATCTGACTAACCTTGAATCTGTTTGAGAACTTGTTCCTCTGGTACATAAATTTTCTCCAGGGTTTTACCAATCTTCTTCTCCCACAAAGCAACGAGTTCATTGAATGAATATATGTTTTTAGGAGGCTTGATGTAGAGGATTTTGTTCAATGTTCTTGGATCATCTACAGCTTTGATGGTGTACGTGCCAATGTCGTTTTCCTCATTGAAAACAGCTACAAGCAGGGGAAAAAAAAGCTAAGACATCGAAAATTTGGACATGATTATTGATAGGTACTCTCGAGTCTCGCCTAGGCAAGACTAAAGAAGATTATGTGACGAAAATTTTCAATATCAAACATGAAATTAACCTTTGGCATTTCCATCGCCTAAGATAATGACTTTATCTCTGGGTGGAGCAGTGACTTCTGGCTGCACCAGTGTTGGAAGGGAATAGCCTGCAAAGTAGTTAGCTGACACAAAGGTGTAAGGAATTCCTTCTGCCTCGATGGCTCTGCGAATTTGGGACTTGATCTCGAACGAAGACTTGGCTGGCTCCACAGCGTGACATCGATCTACGTCAGTTCCAAACTCCGATGGAAAGAATCTCTACAAAGTTGGAGAAAAAAGAGTGTAAAAAAATCCCTTCTCGCAAGACATATCTAGTACGTAATATTTAACTGTACTGCAGAAAAGAATGAAAGTTGACAAGATTTTAACTTTTTTTTCCCTTTTTAATTTTGTTCAGGTGCTGTCAAACCTACCTTAACATTTCCAGCTTCTTTAATCGCAGCAATGATCTTAACTTGATCAGCTAATTGAAGTTGACCAACAGTTGAGATAACAACATCCACCTGCTTTATAGCTTTCACCAAGCTCTCATGATCATATAAATCGCCCTGAAAATTTCACGTAGCATATCCCAGATTCATCATTTTCTGTCGTGAAGCATGTTTGGCACGTAACGCTATAAAATAGCACTTGACAAATATTATACAAGACAAACTTTTTTCTTCCTTAATTTTGTTCCAGTCCAGCATACCAAATATGTCATTTCCTATTCAGGTCAGAAATTCACTATTAAGTTGTATTAACATACCGTGAGTATGGTGACACCTGAGTTCTCGAAGCCCTGAATGATTTTTCCTTTAACAGGATCAGATTTTGTACTCTCCCTAGCCAGAGCAAAAGTGGGGTGTCCAGATTTTGCACTTGCTTCCACTATGAATTTGCCAATGTACCCAGTTCCTCCAATGATCAAAATCTTGGTTTTCTCAGCCATTTTCAAGATTTTCTTGGAAATTTTTGAAGAACAATTCAATGATAACAAAAAAAGCAAGGGAACTAAGAATTCACAAATTCCCAAAGGCAGCCTTCACTTGTATATAAACCGGAGGAGGAGAAGTAAATTTACTAAAGTGTCCTTGTTTGGACATACAAGGTCAAGAATATTAAGTGATCAACCACCATAATAGATGCAGTATTTTAAGGTTTCCTTTTCAATTACCTACAATTTGGTGCTTACTTGTGGTTGTGGAAATAAGGTTTGGTGGTTTTCCTTCTTGCAATTTTCTCTTTTCTTTAGGTTTTGTGTCACATCTAAAGAAAAAAAAATGTGGTTGGTGCATAATTGACATGTTGTACTATTTACATGTTAACGCAAGGGGAGCATGAGAGAGTCGAAAAGGGAGGGATGATGATGGACACAAAATATTAAGCAAGGAGAAAAGACAGAAATAAGTAGGATAATAACGAGGTGAAAACGATTTTCAATAAAGGTGCATTTGATTGCAAATGTGGAAAATAGATGGAAAGAAAATATTTTACAAAGAAAAGATTTGCCTAAAAAATGTTTTACAGGGAAAATAATTTCAAGTTTGTTTGATTGGTATAATTTTCCACCCGAAAATTTTTTAAATTTTTTATTCGTTTGGCTTTGTTTTACCTGAAAATTGTTCATTAAAATGATAATTTTTTTCACACTTGATTATAAAATTTGTTTCCATCGCCAAAAAGTAAAAAAAAAAAAAAAAAAAAATGTTTCCTAAAAAATCTTTTTTTTAATCAAAGTTTAGTGTTCGTTTGGCCTTCGTTTGTATCAAAATTGTCCATCAAAGTGAAATTTTTTTTTACACTTGGTTATGAAATTTGTTTCTATTGCTAAAAAAAAGAAAAAAAAAGAAAAAAGAAAAAAATGGCTGACATCCCAGAAATTGTTTTCTCACCTAAAAGGTGGGAAAACATTTGTCTTTCACGCCTGAAAGTAGGCGCGTAGGTGGAAAAAAAAAGTGATAATTTCCATGGCAAAAAGTGGTCATCAAATAACACATTTGCAAGGAAAATGAGAAGATATTCCCTTTTCCATGAAAAAAGGGTGTTATCAAACACACCCTAAGATTAAATTAAACATTAGATCTAAAATTCAGAAGAAAATGTTTTATAAGTAGATGTTATTTACTTTGGTCATTGCAATAGGCTTTAGAAGATTTGAGATTTCCTACCATACATTATTTTAAGTTTTTCTATATCATTACTAGCAGAGGACTATACGATATAATAAATAAAATTTTAAGTTTTTCTATATCATAATTAAAGCTCCGTTTGATCCTCATTTTTTCTCTAATAAATAAAATTTTAAGTTTTTCTATATCATAATTAAAGCTCCGTTTGATCCTCATTTTTTCTCTTCATTGGAGTTGCTTTTTTGAATTGTAACGATCATATTTCTTAGAGTCTACTTTAGAACACGTCATTGATGCATCATAAGTAGAAACAACGCAAATTTGTAATGAGGTTTGTTACATTATTTTATTTTAACTTTTTTTATGCAAATTCTTTAATTTTTTTTTATAATTCTATATCAAGAAATAAGCAAAAGCTCCGACCATTAAAAGCTAATCAAAACAATTTACTTGATGGAAATAAGCAAGAAGAAATAGGCAAATTATTTGTAAAGCCTTTTTTTTACTAGTCGATAAGATGTCAAAATGGGCCAACCATTCCCAGCCCATTTATAGCTCGGACCAAACCTCAGCTCAAATTCAGGCCATAAGTTGGCCACCTTTGTGGGAAGGCAACCACAATGTAGGCTTAGTAGTCGAGGCAATTTACACAAATAGATGCTAAAATCACAATTACAAAAATATGTGAAAAACTAAATGTATAACCTTCTTAAATATAAATTCACTTTAGAGTCCTTACCAATTAAGTAAAAGTATAAAAATCAATTCAAGGTTCAATAACTATGAAATAATCGAAAAAAAATGATTTTGCTTATAAGAAGGACAAGCATAGTATCTGGTAAATGTGTACCCTAGCAGTGTGAAGCACCGAACCTAAGCTTCTCCTTAGGAATGCTATAATAGATTAGATATTCTACTAGGCGATAGGACAAACAGTGGCAGCTACAACCTATATATATCCGATGTGTTTATTTACTAGGTTGGAAACATAAATGAGTTGTCTCCTCTCTGATGAAGCACATCTGAAGGTAGGATTGAGAAGCTAACAATCAAGAAAGGTTCCTAGCGCGAAAGAAATAGGGAAAAGATCACTTGTTAGGAAACAACTCCCACAGAACGAAATGAAAACCAAAAACTAAAATTGATCCAAAAAGAGAAAAAATATAAATTAAACATGGTTCGACAAACCACCAGTAACCACAGAAGAATAAGACTTAATTGGCTGAGAGAAACCCAACAATGCTATGTTTTTCTTCACCCTCACAATTTCTCTCTACACAAAACTAGAATACTTAACGTATGATGTAAACTCTATTAAGATTTGAGATTTCATCTTAAAAGTTCAACCTTATTAAGAGGAGTAGCCCAATTTCGTTATAAATTGGTCTATATTTTCATCTTTATTAGATGCGAGGTTTTATCTCTTTAACATATAATTCTAGCAAGATGGTGGCTCGTTTGGCAAACTAATATTGAAATTCGCGTGCTTATTTTTTTGAGTTTTAATTTGATCGAATTGCTCGTTAAAGTTTAATTGACTCTGATATCATGTTACAACTTGTGGTACCATCTTCAAATGTCAATTTTGTTAAGATGAATAACTCAAATCCTTATAAATTAATATATGTTTTCATCTTTATTAAATGTGGGATCTTATCCCTTATTCCCTTTTTCTCTATGCAATTTTGGATGCACGTTGTTCTCTGTCCGAATTCACGTTACCCTGGTGACGACAAACCACCAGTAACCACAGAAGAATAAGACTTAATTGGCTAAGAGAAACCCAACAATACTACGTTTTTCTTCACCCTCACAATTTCTCTCTACACAAAACTAGAATACTTAACGTATGATGTAAACCCTATTAAGATTTGGGGTTTCATCTTAAAAGTTCAATCTTGTTAAGAGGAGTAGCATAATTTCGTTATAAATTGATCTATGTTTTCATCTTTATTAGATGCGAGGTTTTATCTCTTTAACATATAATTCTAGCAAGATGGTGGCTCGTTTGGCTGACCAATATTGAAATTCGCGTGCTCATTTTTTTGAGTTTTAATTTGATCAAATTGCTCGTTAAAGTTTAATGGACTCTGATACCATGTTACAACTTATGGTGCCATCTTCAAATGTCAATTTTGTTAAGATGAGTAACTCAAATCCTTATAAATTGATCTATGTTTTCATCTTTATTAAATGTGGGATCTTATCCCTTATTCCCTTGTTCTCTATATTCTCTCTAGACTCTCGCAATTTTGGATGCACGTTGTTCTTTGTCCGAATTCACGTTACCCTGGTGGTAAGCAAACTCCTCAATGCAATGCCAATAATTTATAGAAAATACCCTTTAACTCTTTTGATAAGTTTCCATCTACCTCACGATTTCTTTTTCCTTAATATTTTCTTTTTTCTTGTAAAATAAGAATTCTATTTTCCTTTCCTTAATATAATTATTTTATTTAAATTTTTTTCATCAAACCCAATGCATGTGACAATTTCGAAAGGTTAAAGAATTAAATTGCTAAAACTAAAGATTGAATATCAAGTTGTCCACAATGGCCATATATTGAGGACCTCCATGGCAATTCTTTCGTAAAATTATTATTTCCGTTTTTCTCTCAAATCAAACTACAGTTTATATATTGTTTTGAATTCCTTCCACACATAGTATGTAGGACTCTCCTGGTTTGTTACATGTCAACGAACCATACGAGTCCGAATATACCGACGGAATCAGTGGAGGACAAGCTTTTTTTTTTTTTAGGTTAATACAGAGAAAAAATATATATAAAAAATTATTTTTTGTATATTAAAAAAGAATTAAGCTACTGCACTCAAGTTGTACAACTTGGTTGACAATGTATATCTTGGAAAGATCTTTGTCATCGATTTCAAAAATATTATTTCAAATAAATGGATATGATACTTGCCAATTCAAATGATTATCAATCAAGTTCACTCAAATTGTACAAATATAATGATTGATTTAAAAACTATATAGGCTTAGGCTGTCTTGGACTAAAGCCAAATCCCCTATCAACGCTCCTTATTTGCATAATAAGTTTAGGTATCATTTCGATAAATAGCAATCATCTTCTTTTTACTTAATTTGTTTCGAGTCTCAAAAAATCATAGCAAGTTAACGAGTTATTGAAACCTTTTTCACAACCCACAATATGACATATCGACTTTATTACAATGTATGAACCTAAACAAAAAGGAAAAAGAGTCAAGTAAACAACTCAAAATTTATTGAAAATTAAACAACTATACGTTATCTCAAACGTTTCTAGATCAAATTCAAAGATCGTTCAAAAAACAACTGAACTTTTCGAGTGGACATGGGCATGGATAGGTTCCAGCTAATTAACCTCATTCATATCGAAGAAGATGCTATTCAAATTCATGTAAATTAAGCAGGCAGCTTTCATGTTTATGTCATTGTCGACCATTCATCGAAATTGACAATAGCTTCCAACAGCAAAAAATTATAATAAAACTGATAAAAGGATGATGCCATGGATTCACAGCTTTGGGGGTGTGGCGGGTCCTCACCATAGACATAAATTGAAATGCCTACCTAATCTTTTGTTCACTCTTCTACTTGGTACCTAGTTTAGTTTGGATAACATAAAGTTGTTAGGTTCCCAAACATCATGTCTTGTCAATTAGGACACTTCACCTTTCATTTCTTTGTTGATAATTAACTCCATAAACAAGGCAAGCATGTTCACGCATCAATGATATTTTAGGGTATATATGTGTTACATCTCTACTTAAGTGACAGGTGGCAGCCAGCTAAACAAAATGTCACGTAAGATCATCAATCTACTCCACTTCGCATAGCTTCTTTCACGTACTTCTTCTGAAGTGATTAGGTTGTATACATTTATATGCCTCGTCTAGAATATTTTTGTTATTCGAGGCTATGTATTGCTTCTCCACTATAGTATATAATCGAAGGGATGGGCTTCGGTACAAGCTTCGCCTAATTCAAACTATACAAGCAGTACACCATACAAAGCGATTGATGTGACACTACAACGACGACACTTAGTTAGATCACAACCTTTCACCCTATATTTAGGACATGGAAATTGCAAAAGGATTGACACAATTTAACATGATGAGTTCGCTGTTAAATGAGGTCGTGTGTCAAGCATCTAGATGGAACGTCTTCTACTTGTCCTCCATGTATAAATACTCGATACTCTCTCATTCAAAGATAACATAAAAGAAGTGAAAGCTAAAATTGGCACCACATTATATGTTCATTATGTATTTCCCACACTCCAATATACTTTTTAATCATCTGATTTAAATGTCAAAGTACACGCAAAAGTTGCACCCTCGCCGGAGCTCCGATCTTTGTAATCTAATATGACTGTCCAAATGTGCACGTAATATACACATGAATTGAAAAGGATTTGGGATCTATTGATGCTAGATCTTACTAGATTCACGAGTCAACAATATGTCTCGTGTGTGATGTAGTGACATGCTTGAATAGACAATAAAATCTAAACTTTTTCTTTAATGCTTTATTATTTTGTCGAATCAAACAGACCAAATAAAATTAAACAAGTGATGGGCGATTTCAATAATTTATTCTAAGATTGTTCGAGCAACTTGTGTATGCAATCAAATCATAAATTTCCTAGTTTGGAAGTGATTGGATTTTACTAGAGTGTTAGCCATTTATATATCAAGAAGACTCATTTATTTATTTGGTGAAGAATTGTGATTGTTTTGTAGGTTATTTGGAAGAAAATGGAAATAAAGTACTTCACCGCTCTTCTTTTAAAGCGTTTTACTTGAGAAGTACCAACTTCTAAACTTCTAGCCCCTAGAATTGCGAAAGAGTGGAGCGTGTAAACATCCACATTAAGGTACTCTAATACTTCTTTACATGGCTATTTCGATTTTGAGTTTACGAAAAAAAATAAAATAAATAAATATTATAAGCAAATATCTTACCATTTGATGTCCTCTAACACAACATCGATGATGATGGGAGATGATATTTCTTTTTTTCTTTTGCTTTTTTTTGTGATCATGTTCATGGTATGTAGATTTAATAATATTTTAAATTGAACCATTTTAGAAATCTATTTGCTAATTGAATATTGAATGACTCATTTGTCAAATATTTAAATAAAGACTATACGTAATTTATGTATATTTACACGAGTAAGTTAAAGATTTCCCTTTTAATTTTCATTAGTAATTTTTTTTTCCAAAATTGGGGAATAATTATTATCCAGTCAGTCCAAATTTATTGAGTAAAATGTTTGAATGGTCACTGAACTTTAACATGGTCACGACTTACTCACTAAACTTTAAATTATCTCTTAATGGTCATTGAACTTTCTGCCGTTGCACCACATCCATCACTCACCAAATTTCGTTATCATTGAAGCTGACGTGGGGGACGAAAAACACACGTGGTGGGTGACGGCCATTAAAAAATGACAACTCAGCGAAAATATTGTTTCATTACTCATCCAACTTACATTTTGTTACATTTCACTCATCGAACTTCAAAATACTTCCCAATGGTCACTCATCTTTGAAATGTTGCACTCTATTCATCATCCACATATTTTGTTCACTTCATTCCTAATGTTCATACAAAAATTCCACGGGTAAGTTACAAATGTTAAAAAAAAATTGCAACTCAACAAAACTTAACTCATCAAAATACATTATATGAAACGTGACTTCCACGGCCCCATCAACTTCTTTAAAACTAAATAAAGCATCCCCAATGATTCTTTTAGAAATATCACTTTTCTAATTCGAACGTTTGCTATACAAAAAAATAGGTTTCAATCTGATATTTCTAAAACAATCATTGGGGACGCTTTATTGAAAAAATTATCTTTTCTAAAAGAATCATTTTTTCTAAAAGTATAATTTTTTCAATAAAACGCCCGCAATGATTTTTTTAGAAATATCAAATTGAAACCTATTTTTTTGCATAGCAAACATTCGAATTAGAAAAGTGATATTTCTAAAAGAATCATTGGGGACGCTTTATTTAGTTTTAAAGAAGTTGATGGGGCCGTGGAAGTCACGTTTCATATATGGTGATTTTGGTGAGTTAAGTTTTGTTGAGTAGCAATTTTTTTTAACATTTGTAACTTACCCATGGAATTTTTGTGCGAACATTAGAAATGAAGGGAACAAAATATGCGGATGATAAATAGAGTGCAACATTTCAAAGATGAGTGACCATTGGAAAGCATTTTGAAGTTCGATGAGTGAAATGTGACAAAATGTAAGTTGGATGAGTAATGAAACAATGTTTTCGCTGAGTTGTCATTTTTTAATGGTCGTCACTTGCCACGTGTGTTTTCCGTCTGCCACGTCGGCTTCAATGGTAACGGAATTTGGTGAGTGGTGGATGTGGTGCAACGGCAGAAAGTTCAGTGACCATTAACAGACGATTTGAAGTTCAGTGAGTAAATTGTGATCATATTAAAGTTCAGTGACCATTCAAACATTTTAATCAAATTTATTGGAAAATAAGTAGATTATTTTCGTTGCCCCTCTATATGGAAGAATTGTGCTACTTGTACATCACCCCTTATACAAGGGGTGACATAATGCACAAATGACGCCTCCTTATTGGAGGGCCTCGACCCCTTGTGTAAGGGGTGATGCACCCATAACAAGGCTCCTATATGAAAAGAAAAATACTATTCATCCTCAGTGGGGATGCATGCCCAGTTTATGTGGATGTAAATGATTGGTTAAGTGATAGGTAAAATTAAATGACTTATTTAATTTCACCTATCATTTAATAACACATTAACGTCGCATAAATTGGGGATACATTCTCTGTAGGAATGAATAGCATTTCTCGAAAAGAAAAAGAGGACAGGAAAAAACAACAGTCTACTGTCCACGTGTAAACACACATACACACGACCGTCGATTCAACGGACGAAGGGAAAATAGCATTTAAAAAAAAAAAAAAAGAAGAAGAATAATGCTACGCTACTGCTCCAAAAATCGAGACGCAAACAATAAAGAGTTGGGGATCCAAGAATCGCTTGCGGCCATCCCTCTCTCGAAAGTAGTGGTTGGCGGTGGCGATGCTAGGTGCTGTTATCGGCGGTTCTCGTGTTTACAAATTCACCGATAACACCAACGTTTAGCGTTCTTGAATCTCCTTCTTTTTATGAATAAATAAGAACATATGCTACAAATTGCCAAGTTTATTTGTGTGAAACACAGGTGGGAATGGGATGTCGGTCTGATCCATGAAATTTGTTTTTCATTTCTTTTATTTTCCCGAGAAATAGGAGCCCTTTTGAATTAGAGACATAGACATACATATATATATGTATAGATATACAGATTTACACGTGTATGGGTGTGTGTATGTGTCTTGTGTAAGGGGGACATTGAAACGTGAAAAAGGGGTTACAATAGGCTTTTGCTTTGGATCTCGCTGAGCATTGGATAATAGGTATACGGATTTCTCTTCATTTCATATTTGACAGTTTCTTGCAGGAAAAAGAAAAAATGAAACCGGATTTTGGGCTTCTTTTCTACATTTTTTTAAAAAAAATTTTATATGGAATGTTTGCCATCCATTTAGATCCAAATTATGCACCTGTTCCTTTTTCATAGTATTTTATGAATAAAATTAATTAGGACGTCAAAGCCTTGATTTTTGCCAAGAATTGATGAATGCATTACATTCTAAGAGTTCCCTTTGTTGCTATCCAAATTTTCGATGTTGAAAGCCACAACACCCATTTTTAGATTGGACTATAATAAGGATTTGATATTTACAAATCACATGCACATGCACTGCATCATGTATTTGGCAGCATACGATAATATATAAATTCATATCTTGGCACTTTACTGATTCTTACAGAACTTTACCTCAAGTTCTATCAAATTTTCTCAATTAAAGAGAGTTTGAGCTAAGAAAATGCCGTTCAAATCCATTATTCGAGAGCTCAAAGGCAAGAATGGCTTAGAGAACAAGAAAAAGAAACTGTCTGACTCAAAATGTGAGCAAGGTCATACAAAGAAACTATCTGAGTCAAATTGTGAGGAAGGTCATACAAAATCACACATTGCTATTGAGGGATCATTGCCATCTCAATCTGCATTGATACAAGAAAGCCCGTGGACAGATTTGCCTTCCGAGTTGCTTCTTGATATTTTCGGTAGAGTGGAGGCAAACGAGACCACATGGCCTGCCCGGAGGGCTGTGGTTGCGTGTGCTGGGGTTTGCAGGTCATGGAGAGAAGTTGCTAAGGAAGTTGTAAAGACTCCTGAAGAATGTGGGTTGCTCACCTTTCCCATGTCACTAAAGCAGGTAATTTTGGTTTGTGATACCTTTGATTACGTTTCTTGAGATTACTTGGACAAAGATTGAATTTTTTCTTATGAATCTTGAAAATATGTTTTAGCCGGCTCCAAGAGATTCTCCAATTCAATGCTTTATCAAAAGGGAAAGGGGGACGTCAATGTATCAACTGTATCTTGGCTTGAGCCCTGGTAAATGAATTTGTGGTCTCTTTATTTTCTTAGACTTTTAACTGTTTGGAATGATAATTGAATTCAAATGGTAGGACAGGCTTTATATACATGCCACTTAAATTAATATTGAGACCTTTGACTAGCTTCATGAACAAAAGCGTTGATCTGCTTATTTTGTTGTTAATTCTTTTCCACTGAAACTTTCCTGTTATTTGACTTCTCTGGATCTATCTGTAGATTTTGAGATTTATTTAATTAGCAAAGAAGCTTTGTCATGCCCAACGATTTGTTTTCTAAATTTTGTGTAATATAAGAACTGTTAAACTTCATGTTGGTACAAATGTTTATGGCATACACACGTAATTGTAATCTTCTCGTCACTACCTAACAACGGATATTCTCAATTAACATCTTCAACTATTTATTCTGTGATATTGATTGTTTGAACTCAACTACATCACTTGCAGGTGACCCAAGCAAATTGTTGCTGGCAGCAAAAAGGATCAGGAGGGCAACAAAAACAGATTTTTTGATATCCTTGTCTGCAAATGATTTTTCTCAGACTAGTAACAATTATGTTGGAAAACTAAGGTATGCTGTTCAAATATTGTTCATGCTTTCTTCCCATTAGATTTGCTTTCCTTTTTATGAAGCCAGATATTTGTATCAGGTCCAATTTTTTTGGCTCCAAGTTTGTCATTCATGATTGTCAACCTCCATCCAACTCTGATATCCAGTCCTATGGTTGGTCACGCAAAAAGGTCTCTATGAAGAAGGTGTCCCCGAGGCTACCTGTTTGCAATTATAATGTGGCCACCATATCATATGAACTCAATGTTCTGCGTACTAGAGGGCCAAGAAGAATGCAATGCAACATGCACACAATCCCTGCCTCCGCAATTCAAGAAGGTGGAAGAACCCCTACGCCTGCTACATTTAGTAATGGACTTGATCAAATGTTCTCTCCCTTGACAGAGTCTACAGATAAAAACCAAAAATCTACTTCCACTAGTCCTGTCAAGTTACCGGCATCCATTTACACCACTAGAGATCCACTTGTTTTAAGAAACAAAATTCCAAGATGGCACGAGCAGCTCCAGTGTTGGTGCCTGAACTTCAAAGGACGTGTTACAGTGGCCTCTGTCAAGAACTTTCAGCTGGTAGCTGCTATAGACGCGTCGAAGAATGTTCCCGCTGCAGACCAAGAGAAAGTAATCTTGCAATTTGGGAAGATAGGGAAAGACATATTTACCATGGACTATCTTTACCCCCTTTCTGCCTTTCAGGCCTTCACAATCTGTTTAAGCAGCTTTGACATGAAACCGGCATGCGAGTAGCCAATTTTTCTTACCATCATGCACTGTAATTATCCTTGGCTCCATGCAAATGATATCTCCATGTAAAATTTTTATTTATATTTTTGAAAGGAAACATTTAAGGTTGTATTCCTTGTATAAAGATTATGAGTCTGATAATGTGATGACTAGATTCAAATGATCTAGTTTGAAGTTTGAATCGTATGTATGACGCAGATGACTTTTTTGACTTGTATAATGTTTGGACAAGTAGGAAGATAGATTGTTACCATAAAATAATTTGCCGTAAGTTGTGTTTGAATGATGTTGAATTGAACTTGGAGTAATAGATATTAGCTATTCACATATCAAGGCTTTATAAACAAATTCAGGTGATTTCTATTAAAATACTGTGAGAAGCATGTAGTGGATTGTTTCATCATCCTTATTATATTTTTCTTGACATGCTTAGAGGTACACAGTACTTAGTATCTCTTGGCATGCCAAAATGGTAACTTATATGTTTAGGGAACATCTATTATGTTGTGATTGCTCCTTTCCTTGCAGTGAACACGGCAACCGTGACGTTGAGGCTTTTCAAGATTTTCTGCCTGAGAATTGCTCGATTCCAAAATTGACCTTGAAGGCATCTTCTTCTGACAGTGGGTTCATAGGTAAGTTTCTGGGAAGGGATCGTGTTAAATTTAGCCTTTTGTATCTCAATTCTCAAGGGCCCTTATTTTATCAGTTGACTTGGTAGGTTCTTTCTGAGCACGAATGGCAATAATATGGACTCCGGGATTCCTTTCATTCATGGAACTGTTGAACACTATCGAGTTATTGATTCCCTGCGCATTGTTGTTTACATATGTCTCTGTTGGCTGATCTTCTTTTCCTTCCGCATCTTCCGATTTCTTACCATTCCAACTTCCATTGCCATCAGTGGCTGCTTCAGGACTTTCATCAGGATTGATCTTGTAGCCTCTGCGAATGTGAACTGCCCCTTTCCCTTTTGATGAACCCGATCCAAACTGCATTGATGCTCCTCTGTTTTCTCCTGCAAGTGTAATGATACTTACTGGTCTGTCATTAAGGGAATTTTTGGGGTTTCCAATGGCCATTCGATTGACAAATGTCGAAATGTCGTCCTTGATCTCTTTGTGCAAGGGCACTTGTTCTCGGCTTGACTGAGTAGATAATTTTTGAGTTGGAATACTTGTGCTTTTACTCCCTGGTCGAGAACTTGTTTTGGTTGGTTTTCCACTGAAGAGAGAGGTTGGTAGTGTCTCTTTTTTGCCAAGGGTCCCTTGTGTTTCTCCATGCATCTGCTCTGATTCATTTATAACGCTGGCCTCCTCTACTGTTTGTGCTCTTGATCCTGATTTTGCAGCGAGAAAATCATTGCCTTCGTTGTTTCTTTTGCCATCAGCTGCACCTTTTGTCTCTTGAATTACCTCCTTCACTTCTTTAGTTTCTTCAGGTTTTGCATTTGATTCCATGAGGGGCTTTTTGTCACCATCGATGCTGGAAGAATCCCATTTTTGTGTTTCCTCAGCTGTCTCAGGACCTTGGGAAACGGTCGATATAGTAACAGCTCCCATCTCTGATGATTTAGAAGTCTCTACTTCCATTTCATTGTGTTTGATGCTTCTTTCAGATGCAGTTTGATTATGAGAGTCATCAACAGTATCAGATTTAACTTTTGTCTTTGGCTGAATTTCTAGAGACTCTTGTTCAGATGCTGATGGCTTCGGTGCTTCTCCATTAGAAACAGTATTTGGGTCATGAGAATTGGAAAGAGGATGGGATATCTCTTTGGTTGTGTGCTGTAATGTCTTCGATGTGGAAGTAGGCTCAACACCCTTGATAGATGGTGAATATGTCTGCTTTGGGGTGGGTGAGGCTGGACGGGAGGGTGAATGAGCTTGTGATGCGCTTTGGCGTGTCAAGGAGTTCAGAGAACCCATGCGAGATGGAGATGAGGGTGTGGCTCGTGATTTAGGTGATGCACGAGATGGAGATGAAGGCTGAGGAGGTGATTGTGATTTTGTTGTTGCATGATAGGGTGATGCCGTCCTTGATGGGACACCAGGTTGAACGGTTGAACGAATTGGTGATGAGGTTTGGGACTCTATTGTAGGGCCAATTGAGGTGGCAGTAGGCTGGTTAGCCATCTGGGCTTCACTTGAAGGTGGCACTGTGGCGACACGGGTTGTGTTTGTGTTTGACTGGCTAGGTGTTAGAGTTTGGGTTTCATCTGTAAGTGGAGTCGTGAGGGTGTTAGTGGTGGAGGAGGGGGTGGTCTCATGCCCAGCTGTTTGAGTTTCAGCAGTAGGTGGAGTTGTGGGGGCGGTGTTGATGGTAGGGTTGGTTGCCTGCTCATCAGCTTGAGTTTCAGCAGTATTTAGAGTTGTGGAGATTGTGTTGGTGGTAGGGTTGGTTGCCTTCTCAGCCGTTTGAGTTTCAGCAGTAGGGAGAGTTGTTGGGATGGGGGTAATGGTGGAGGACTGGCCAGCCGATTGAATTTCAGCTGTAGTTGGAGTTGTGGGGGTTTTTGCATTCCCAACCGATTGAGTTTCTGCTGTAGATGGAGTTGTGGGAATTGGGGTGCTTGCATCCCCAGTCAATTGAGTTTCTACCTTAGATGGAGTTATGGGGGTAGGAGCAGGGGTAGGGGTGGTTGTCTCGCCAGCCGAACTTCTTTCAGCTGCAGGAGGAGTTGTGGAGGAAAGGGGGATGGTTGTGTTTTGAGATGGTGCAGTTGTTGGAGAACGGCGGGAAGCTGGTGGCCAAAATCGGAAGGAAAATGACGACCTCCGGTCCCCCATGAATGTTTAATGTGAAACACGTAACAAGCAAAGAGGTAAGTTGTTTAGTTTCTTCTTAAAGATTGCTTGATATGTAACAGAGAACTCCAAGAGATCTTATAAAGTATTTTACTTGATACCTTGGAAAATTCATTCCTTAAAGTCACTTCATAGAATAATTTCTTGTTTCCACTTCTTGCTTTTTTGCCTCTTCAGAAAATCAAATTTCCTTGAGAATCTCACAGGATTCTTTAAACCAATTTTCCTCTCAAAGAGGTTTAGCATCTTTTCAGTCCGCAAATTGCACAACCTCCATGAGATTTCTTGCCATCGATTGAAACTTGATTATTTTTCTTTATTCCATGACACAATTCCAGAGTCTTGCATGAATTACAAACTAAACATCCTTGATTGCCATTTTTTTTTTTTTCGCTTGACGCCTTGATAGAAAGGAAAAGTATAGAATTTAATCAGGTTTTGTACAATTATTCCATTAACCCCACCTATTGCTGATTCAAGAAAGAACACGGAGATAGCCTCTACGGGCATGGCGTAGTGGTAAAGCAGGAGGGTTCTTTACGGAACATCAAAGGTTCGAATCCCCGCGGCAGATGGAAGGTAACATTTATGTTAAAAGATTGATGTCCTGTAGTAGCAAAGTTATGGTGCGCTTTGTCACCCTTCCGAGGATCCTACCTAACGTCGTAAAGAGAGGTCGCTTCTCGAAAGTTCAGCCCAAGTGTATATAAGCTGGGACAGCATCCCGATTTACCCGAGTCGCGAACCAGGGGGGAAGGCCTCCACTCCTCAGGATTAGTCGGACGAAACTCGGACATCCGAGTCATAAAAATAAAAAATAAATAAAGAACACGAGATTTACAAACAAGCAAGCAATTAAGAATTATGGGAAAATATTCTTTCTTACTCATCTGATTTGCCATTAAGAGGGATATGTCATTCATGTATCACGCAGCCTGAGCTTCATTCCAAGTTCAAGCACATTTCTTTGTTACAATATGAGGTAAATCATCAACCAACACTACTTGCTTCACAATAAACAGAAAGCTTGGCATAAAATCACTGTATTCTCAAAATTCCTGAGAGTTTCAGATTATCTGGATCCCACAATTTTGGGGGGTAATAACGTGTCTGGATTCGATTTTCTTCGTTGTTCTACCATTTTGAATTACGTTTGAGAATAAGAGATACATTTTTTTGAGATTATTTTAACTGTTTCAGTAATATACATCTTCTTTAATTCATGTATGTTTTCTTCGTTTACAAGATTAATAATGCAGGGTCTCATACGAGCAGTCAGATCTTGTCATGAATCTCTACACCTCAAACATCTCGGGGTTCAGATACGAGGAACAAAACTGAGCTGAAAAGGGTTTTGTCACGCTATGAATGTGTCACATCCAATCCCACAAGGCAAAACAAAGACTCTTAACGGCATAATAGTGGCAAATTCTCACACAATGCCGGACAAGGGATTGAAGAATACAACAGTAGCAGAAGTACTAATGACAAATGGGGGAAGTAATGGTCGGATCTTGGCTCTGGTGTCGCTCAAATGACTCAGTCTATGATGCTGTGAAGCAAGTTGGTTTCTTCAACCCTGAAAAAATTGCAGGGGATAAATATATCATCTTCTGTTTTTTAATGCAACAACAATTTATTTTAAAATTTGCAGATGGCAGAAAACAGTATAGGATCTTTGGTGGTACTAAAGCCAGGAGAGCAACGGCTAATTTCAGGAATTTTTACTGAAAGAGGTATTGTTCTCCACATTATTAAACACGAGTAGTTGAAGTTCAATATCCAAAAACCAATTTCCGGACACGTCACCCCCGCCCAGGACAAAAAGAAAACACATACATGCTTAAGAAAAGAGTTGATAAACTCTTCAATTAAAAATACTGGTCTCTATAGTGGGAATGGGGGTAAAATGAAACTCCCTCGAGAAGGGACTTTACTGCTCTCTTTATCGACCTGCAGCTACTCAGTTCAATGAATAGTCTTTCTGGTCATTGTAGCCTGCCTACTAAAATTTTCTTGTCTGCGCTCTCAGATGATTATAAACTTGTTATGCATGTTCACTTTACATTTCTGAACTTCAATTCCTAATTTGCTTTCGGATTGTTCAAAACAGACAATTTACGGAAGATAATTGTGCAAGATAGATCGTCTAAATATACAAAAGTTGGGGAAATAATGACTGATCCGGTTAATAATTCTTCTCTTTCGACTTCTCCTTCTTGGGCCATCCACTGTTCTCTTCTAACCCTTTACCTAATTTTTACTGTCTCAACAGGACAAGCTGATAAACAGTAACATCAGATACAAACATTCTGCAAGCAATGCAGCTGATGGAAAAATAGTAGGTATGATCTCGATTGTCGATGTTGTTTGAGCAGCAGCGCAGCTGCAGCATGGAGAAATGAAGCAACTTGAATTTATTCAGGGACATTACTATTGGAAAATGTCCAAATGACTCTATCTATAGGATTACAAATAAAATTAAAAGAACAAATATTCAAAATTAATTAAACATCAAACTATCATGGAAATAATCTTGACGCTCAGGAAAATATTGCAGAAAATGTTAGGGGAACCTTTCTATATTCTTAACACAGCAATTTAATAGTTAGAGCTCCCAAACTCAGAGCAAACATGTATTAACCCCTAATTGTTAATTACAGTTGTTGGAGAAAGCTATGAAATAAGAGATATCAGATCCATTCATAAACTAAGAGTAAACAGCACAAATCTTGTTATCTATTCAGTATGATCCACTATTAAAAGGTTCAATAAAATTAAATGTTTTGCAACTCCACCAGACACTGTTAATTTTGTTGAACCATCAAAGTCGAACTGAATATGGTTTAAGTAATTTTGTGGAACTGACTTTTAAATTTTGGTAAACATATTTCAAATACAAGAATATTCTAAAGTGTAGGGAATTGAAACCAATCCCTCTATTTATCCAAGTCAAAGAATTATTTAGAAGTCAAAAAATATATAAAAAGGGAAAAAAATAACAACACGGAGATTTACATGATGAAAACTCTCAAATTGGAGAAAAATCATGGATTGTCAAAGTCGGAACTACCATATTCAAGACAGAGAATTACCATACTCCACCATAAAGAGTACATAGTTAGAAATGCCATAATTTAAGAATTTCAAATCAGCTTATGTCGAACAAATTTGCTGAAAATTATGGTACAACTCCCACATTTGGCTTTCCCTATAGTTCATCAGCCATCGACGTAAACTCCACCACACACCCTACATCAATGCCAAACCAATGCCTGCGTGACAATTAGTGGACCCGCTAACAATAACACATCATCTATTATGACAACTTATTAGCCAAAGACATGCTATAATGATGAATATATTCTTCCAAAAAAATATGACTGTCTCTTATGGAGAAAAAAGACACTGTTTGCTCGTTGAATCTATAGAGTGACCACGAACCCATCAAATACCTCATTGGACTGGTTAAGTTTCATCTTGTTTTCTTGAGTCGGAGGTCAGGCTTTATGCATTTAAAATTCTGTGCTTCCTTTTCTGCTTTGTTATTAACATATACTCCACGGTGGTTTATTAAAGAAAAATACTTGGTCTTAGTAAAACCATATTTTTTGGCAAAGAAACTAAAGTGTTCAAATTTGTAAGAATATTGATTCCCTATAAACTGGTGAATCAAAAAATTATTTTCCTGAAAAAGATGAAACATATCTCAGTTATTACTGGAATCTCTTGTAGTACGATAATGTATTATTAATGTCAAATCTGCTGAGCACATGTCTGCTAGGTCTATCTCCTTATCTTTTGGAACATTTCATCTCCAGAGGAATCTCATTACTCCCTTTTCATTGTCGACTCTTAACTATTCAGAAATCTTCTCCCAGATGTATTTCCCTTTATTCAAATATTCTGTCAAAATTTTGGTCCTCAAGCTTTTCTTGCCTTTTGATTGGACCAGTAAAAGGAGGTTATGATAACTCACCGTGGTTAAAAGTTTAAAACCATCACCGTAGTTATCTTTTTTACTTTTCCATTTGAACGATGGGAGTGGTGGAGATTTGGCTTGGACCCTTATCGGTTTATCAGATGGAAAAAAGCAAGATACGAATCGACTAAGAAGATGGAGATTAAAGTGACATAACTTATTTTCCAGGGGGGATGGGGTAGCTTATTTTTGCAACTTCCAATGAAAGGGATTGACAATAGATGATAAAGATTCTGAAATATCAAAGGGCTACCCCTATTTTGATACAGATTCTTGCAGCATTTTAATCTGAATATTGCCTTGTAGAAATGGACTTCCATCTGCACGTGGGCAGTCTCTCAAAGCTATAAGCATATATTGCCAGTTGTTTTAAAAGCTGGAATTTTCCACCTCATTTTTGTTGAATTTCTGGATGTTTTATGCGTAGATAAGCACATATAACAGTGGCTCTTTGTCATCAACAATCCAAACTTTCATCTTGCCTTATCATTTTGCTTTCAAAGGAAAAGTGCAAAGACATTCATATTCTCAATTGACCAGTACCAGCATCTTGAGTCACTCAGACTTCAGTGTAACATTTTCCAAATACAGATACATAAAAAAATTGTTTAGCCAAGGATGGATGATAGTAGACAGGAGGGATGTCATGGATTGTAATGATTCACTTCAACACGGGTGCTAAGTTCACTTTGCCACGACAAGTTTTCATTGTGACAAAGAATAGTAAATGGGATTTCATGCCTCTTAAACACAAAAACCGACCTCCTAAAACCCTTTACGTAGTAGGAATATTCGGGTAATAAGTGAATATTATCACAAGGCTCTACACACTCCAACAATAAAAATTATGAACTTGGTAGGGACATGTTTTATGTATCGAAGATAAAATTTAAATGACTGCATGTGACCATCTTTTAGAGAAAGAAAAAGGAAAAAAAAAATAAAATAGGTCAACGCATGAAGGAGTTAAATGAATACACATAGTTTGCCTCTTGCCAGT